CATGCGTGTGTGTGTGTGTGGGGCAATAAGATGTGCCTTTATATGTCGGGTTCAAACCCAGAAAATATGGATAAGAATCACAACAAGGGCGTAGTAACCGCTGGGTGTATGCGAGAAGATAAAAGGCATGTTATGCAGGTTTACGGTATGTTACGTTGTATGCACAGGCGCGACAGCATAACTGCACAGATACATAAACGATAAACATGAGTGTGGTATGGCCTTTACTATAATCTGTCAGATCATACTATATTGCAGCATACACAACGCAGAAGTACAAGCAAAAGGACAAGGGCGTATTCACTTCATGCTAAATCCTGACTATTCACCGGGTATAGCGCAATCCCTAGGGCTTTAGGGTTTTAGAGTTTTAGGGTTTAGGGCATTGATTGTACAGAAATCAGCACTGATAGACGCGACAGGAGTTTAATCGTCAAAAGTCAACCCTTAACCCTAAACCCTATATGCGTAGTGTGCATGCAACATAACTTCACTTTCAGCAGCATACTCGTACATGTACACGAGCATCCAGACCGCATAGAACATGCGAGTATATATGTGCATGTATGCAAATATACAAGTGTATATATAGTGAGTATATATGTTTATATATGTGAATATTTGTGTATAAAAGGTTGGCTAGTTGTAACTATCATAGTTCAGCTTCCCTTCACTAAGTATAGCCACAAAAAAAGTATTACCTGTAAATGCCAGAGATGCGGATGGACTCCTCAAAGTCGTAGGTGCGAAACAGCGCCCGATAATCCACGCAGGCCACCAGCACAACCGTTACCAAGACAACAAAGTGAGCTTGACTACGGTGAGGGGGAGAGATACACAGAGGAAACAAGTCAGTGTATACTAATATGCATATACACTTAAAGGTAATCCGTATCAGACATATACATACATGATGTATGTTTTGTGGAAGAAACAAGACAATGTATATTTGTATATTAATATGCATATGCACATATACGCTATACATATGTTTATATGTACAAAGTAATCAGCGTCAGACAGACACATAAATGATGTATAATTTGTTAGGACAACGAAATCCGCTCGACTGTGGCGTGGCGGATAGGTCAACAATAGGCGATATGACCGATTGCCGTAAAGTGTGTACTGCGCAGAGTTACAGGATTCAATGTGCACATACAGTCACGTACTTGGTCTCTCAAGAAGGCACCGTGGTACAGATATCGTGCGCGCGCTAATACAAGCAACCAGGAGTCCAATTTCAGATGCTGGAATTGGTTGGTTTTGTGTGGTACTGCTACTTTGATGGCTTGGTGCAACACCAGTGAGTACCTGTTGTGAGCTGTATCGAGTTTCTACATCTTTTTGGTAGATCGCCAATGTATGACGTGCTAAAGCAGTGCGGTAGGACCAGATATCAAGATCTGAATCTTAGTTTCTATCAGGTGCACTAAAACAGTGTTCAATAGCACTCATAGTAATCGTAGTATAGCAGAGAAGACCCGGCAATACACTGGCAAGCGAGATACACAACACCCAGCAACGCTTACTGTATTGCAAATACAGCGATCTCATTGGCAGTGCTATTTTATACAGCGATCTCATCGGCGGTGCTATTTTATATAGAGCGAATCCATTGGCGCAGTATAGACGGCTACATAGAAACAACAGCTTGTGGGAACACACGGCTGTATACACATACCACGGAATAAAATGAGCAAGTAGGCAAAACATGCGGAGCCGTGATGCACGAAAGGAAAATACACATACCTCAAACATATGCTGCACATGCAGATATCGTGCAAGCACATGAATGCCATTGACCTCGACCATACAATTGACATGATCGGTACACGTAGTTAGCTGTGATGCGCACACAGCCCGTACCCTACCGTGGGTGTCAACACATCTCGATGCTCGAAGAAAGTAGCAAGACTGCCACACACCCCCACGTGCGCAGGAGAGTACGTGATCAGATGCATGCACAGACGCGTACACAAGGACAACACAACACCTGCGAGACCACATACAATAGGTTCAGCAGGCGACAGAGCGCACTAGGCCATAAGCCCTTCCGCAGAAAGTATTCATGTACACTGATAAAAAGTGGTCAAGTACATGATCCAACATATGCACAGACACATACGCTTACACATGGTCAGTACAACACCTGCGAGACCACATACACTAGGTTCAACAGGCGACTGAGCGCACTAGGCCAGAAACCCTTCCGCAGAAAGTATTCATATACACTGATAAAGAAGTGGTCCAGATCTGCCACTTCCAGGTGCACGTTGGCCACTTCAATGCTTAAGTTCTCCTCCCCAGTCGATCTGCGGTCAAACCCGCGAAGCTGTGTGGCAATCCCGTGCAGCGAACATGTGAGAGTGCATACATACAGCAGATGCACACAAGTAACTAGATATAGTCTAGTTAAGGCAGGATGAAGTACCGAACATTATGTGCTTATGCATTCAACTGAGCACTGTATTGAAATTTGGACAAGAACCTAGCGAGGGCACCTAGCATACGCTGCTGCAGGGGATGGTGGTCACCCACGTACTAGTAAGAGTACAATACAGACACACAAATGGCAATATTATAAGTATTAAAATAGCTCCACAAATATAACAATGGCATAGAGCAATGTAGCATACAATGCTGCAGGGGACGGTGGTCACCCACGTACTAGTAGGAGTACAATACAGACACACAAGTATAATAATGGTATAGAGCAATGCAATACACACGTCAAAGTAAATACTGGCCATCGAAGCAACACCGAGCGATTCTTTAGGTCAATAATAAAATACACTTTTAGGTCGGAAATAGCACATTTAGGTCGGAAATAGCACTTTTAGGTCGAAAACAACTAGCTAACAATGTCCAGAAAATCGACGAGTACAGGACTACATACCACATGCGGGGCGGTCTGTGTCGCGGGACTGTCCGCACCCAATTCGTACAGGTTCGGGTTATCATCGAACCCTGAAGCTGTGCATCGTAGGTATTGAACTCAGTGAGAGTCAGAAAGTACTTATTCTGTCGGATTAACCGCTCACATTGGTACACTGAGCATCTACACCAAAGTATATCACCTGTGACAAGGACCAAGCCGACTACACTATAATGGACGCCTACTATATAGCAAGTGACTTCTATCGCCACCCCTTGTGTTCGTATATGTGATATACTGCTGGTGAAAGTATGCTGTGCCCTCATGTCGACAAGCATGCAAGCACGTGACTGACGCATTGACTTGCATACTCAAATACAAGTCTAAACCGTGTGACCATTAGAGTCAACTGCTAGTCGCCCTAATGCATGTGACACTCTTCAGGCGACGAATGAGGCCAGCTGAAAATGTACCTACATTGATGCTGAAACACACACAAACAACAACGTCAAGCAAGCGGCATCATCGTCTAACGGTACATCTCATTATAGTCTCCCCTTCTCATGAATACACACGCACTGGGATACCACCACCTACCGTTTCTTCCCAATGGGAGTCCGTTGTGGTAAGCCGGGGGGCTGAAGTGGGCGTATTCGGATGACAGCAACGGTGTGAACACGTTGGCTTCACGCTCCGACCTGGGTGCACTGGGTCCCTCACGGACCATCGCCCGCACCCGGCCCTGGTATGCGGAGGCCATACTCACACACTCGCCTGCGGAGAAACAACGCATATGCCCAAAAAAGGACTGAATAAGGTGCTGAGGGGGTCTGTGGGACTAGATATAACAGTGCGAACACACGGATACAGATTGGGTATAAAATACCGGCTTGGCATGTGTTGTATGGATGCGAGAGTTGTGGCTACACTAGTGTGTATCTGTAGCTTCACAGTACATAGCCTCTAACTGTGACCCCATAGTAGCCCACTCGCCTGCAAGTAACAAGCGAGCGTACTGACAGACACTACGTAACCAGCGAGTTTAAGGCGCTATAAGACCTGTCGGCGACCATTAATATATGCGGGAGGCTTCAAACATACATACACTACAGGCTGTGTAACTATTTAGACAGAATGCCTGAGTATCGGTGCGTGGGTTTTGTGCTTCTGCTTGGGCAGTCGCAGTGGGAAACAAGAGCCCGCTCGCGCCCTAACCTGAGAAGGCGAACCCCACAACGACACATTTGCTTGCACATTAATATTGTGAGTGTGAGATATATGTCTTTATATTGACATATCAATAACCTCTACATAGAAATATGGGGTGTATTTATAGTGTCTGTCTACCCACAGTCACTGAGATACATTGAAATGCGTGTGCACATGTAAAACTATACACATACGCAATTGTGCAAGGTCGTTCGCATCCGCCTTAATGCACAACCTCAGCGAAAAAAAATACTTTATAACACCCGACAGATTTTATTTTAATTGTACGCCTTCTACATCCACTTAACGGTATAATAATATACATACATGGCAAATACTAACACAGGTAAATATTAACATTAAATAAGCAACCGATGCACGTCACCTAATGGCTTGTACTCGACCACGCCTTCATGCTCTACGCACACTTGCACACCAGGAGAGATAGCAGCAGCCTCGATAAAATACCGATTTGTGAGTAGTACAAGTAGAAGATACTGGCCACTTGAAAATACACACACATGTATACATGGGATACATCATTACCAATAAGCGACTGCAAAGAAACAAAGTACCCGCACCACGCACTCCCACATTTTGCGCTTACTTGTACACCAAGCGAGAGAGCAGTCTCAATCCAGGATCGTTTACGATGTTGCGATTCAACGGATATAGCACTAGTACATCTTCTGTAGTAAAAGTAAACACACTACTCTAGAGGTTACACCTATAGATAGCGCGAAAATTCAACAGGTAACGAGCGTATGTATTTATGGGTCTGTCTATACAAATGAAATAAATTGTGATAAAAATGCATTATGTTTTGTTGCGTCATCAAATTCATACGCTTTTCCCCAGCTTTTACTTTTTTTATCTACGTATTGTAGTGACTTGTGAAGCTTTTTAAAGTATGTATTGACTGCCCCGTGTCCACCCGGCGTGTACACACGCATACATAATCGTATATACACAGTGACATTATTCATCCAAAGCGCTGCTAAATCGGTAAAGGTATTTGATTCCTTATGTTTGACTTAAAATACAAATCGTCAAAGACCATCGGATACAGCAAGCTGCACGTCCCACTATCACGTATATGGAGGTGGCCTTAACTACTTGACTACACAGACGGAAATCCTAAGATATTCCAGAAACGTTGGGCAGGTACGTACTTCAGTGAACGTATCGGAAACAATGGGGAGGGTTGCAAGAAAGATGGTTGCAGCGGAAGGCAACCAACCTATGAGACAAGACCTTGCTTGCAAAAGTTCACTGAGTTCTCCAACATCTGTGCTCCCCGCAAGGGCGCCCGGGAGGTTTATAAGTCTGCCTGGCAAGTACAACTATTCATCTATATATAGCCACACACGGTAAATACTATTATTTTCAATAATTATTCATGGCGCCACACACCGTGCTTTGTGGTCTGCAGTGGGCTCTTGAGTGTAGGTCGCTCACAAACTGCTAAGTGTATGGGTAAACCCAATATTTGGTCATACCTGTTTAAATGTTATCTAGTTATATCTGTTTCACTATTATTTAGCCATATCTGTTCGTCTGTCTATGACAGATAGATAGAGTGGGTGTGATTGGAGACCGCACTCACGGAGAGTAGAAGATCAACCGAGAACAAAAGTGCTGAGTTATGCTGAAGCTCTTTACGCACCTGACGGCGAACGTCTATGGTTGTGAGCGCGACTGAGCTCACAATATGCACTAATGCCTATCTGCTGCCGTGGGAGTGGATGCTTGCCACCCTCTCTGGGCACGTGCACGCTTACCAACGTAAACGGTACTGAAGTACGCAGACCGCCGACGAAGTGAGGACTTATCTGTTGACGAAGTGAGGGCTTATCTGTGTACAACAACAAGAGTGCGATGATGGGACCAGCAAAGGACACGGGTATGTGCGTAATGGGTGGCATGGAATAGTAGCGGTCGTGATAGGCACTGGTATAGACAACCCCGGACCAGAGGATTGTTTGTTGCAACACTTATTCCGGTTCGTCTCGTACGTGTGCATGCCAAGTACGATGAACGTACGAACAACTTCCGGGGTAGGTCATGGCAAAGGTGTATGCGAATACAGTTGCGTTTGATCAGGCACGAGAATGTGGGTGATTTAACATTACACGAACGCTCTGTATCGCACAGTGGAAGCTCAGACAGTAGCTGGTGGGTGTCGTGATAGGGATCACGGTGTTGTTTGGCGCACGAGTACCTGACTGTGACCAAATGTGCGCTACACCACTAGCCGTGTCTGGATACGCCTACATAATACAGGTACATCTCACATCTAAACAAAGTCTGATATAAAAAGAAATGCGATATCATCATACATGCCGATAGATCAAACGCTGTTCGAGCGTGTAGCACAAGTGCACTATCACGTCGCCAATTCTTTCAAGTACGTTGTGGAAGCAAGAACTGCCTGTATTGCATGGTTGCTACTTTAGGGTTTTTATTGCCCGGTTGCTACTATAGGGTTTATACTGCACAGCTGCTACCATAGAAAGGAAAAGGGAGGACTTCCGCGCGTCTTTCTTTCATCCGTATCTGGTGCAGGATGCAATGACCGAGATACATTTCCTCGTGACGGCTGCAATGCCCTTGTTCGGCATGTCTTGCATGAGGCCTCACACCGATCATATTCACCGTGCCGTTTACAGGTTATATCCCATATCAACACATACACATGCACGTGTAGATGTCCGCGCAAAACCCCTTGGACGGAATTTCGAGTAGCAACCGATACCCTTTGCTGGTATTACCGTCCTCCACACACGCAGCCATAAGGTTGTTGTAGAGCTTAGCATCTCTAGATAGACCAGATGTCTCGCATTCTTTACACACGCAGCCATAAGGTTGTTGTAGAGCTTAACGTCTCTAGATAGACCAGATGTTC